GTCGCCCAGATGTCCGACTGTGGTATTTCTTTTAAAGCCCTGTCTGTGATGTCGCCTAGATGTTCGACTGTGGTATTTCTTTTAAAGCCCTGTCTGTGATGTCGCCCAGACATCCGACTGTGGTATTTCTTTTAAAGCCCTGTCTGTGATGTCGCCCAGACGTCCGACCACGGTATTTCTTTTAAAAGCCCTTTATGTGATGTCGCCCAGACGTCCGACTGTGGCATTTCTTTTAAGCCATTTATGTGGTGTCGCTTAGACGCCCGACTGCGGCATGCACTTTATTTATTTACCTTTCGAGGCGTCGCTCCAGACACCCGATCGGTTTTTCAGCCATTTATTTTTATTTATCAAGTCCTGCAAATCTTACCATTGTTATATGAGCATCATCCTTTATTCATGACGCATTCATGCATTCATTGATTATATCTTTTGTCCGATCTGTCTTGCGAGTACTTTCAAGTACTCACCTGGCTTGTTGATTTGGCCAGATGCTGATGAAGGCGATCTCATGGATGAAGAGTTTGATAGCGAGTCCGACGCCTAGAGGAGTCCCAGTCAGTCCCGTGCGATCCTGTCTTGGTCATTGTACTATCCGCTTCCGCAACCCCGAATAAATTCATCGAGCCTCACCTCAACGCTCGATGTACTGCCAGTAGAAGTCAAGTTATCCACCACCACTTTTCCCTCGAGCTAGTAGCATGCCACCCAACCCCGGTGTCATATCCGCCCATATGTAATATATTGGCGAGTCTGTAATAAAATTGTTGAGCAACCTCAGCTCAACCCTGTAATATATTTGATGCTACTGGTTCTCTGTTTATCAAGCTTTTGTCTACCAGAAAGGATGACTTTTCCTATACTGGGATTTAAAGATTGGTTTTCTCAATAAATTTTTTTATTGAAAAACCGGTCGTGACACGCCGCTGCCTATCTCTCCCACCCACCCCGATCCATCCCCTCCCTTTGTCTCTCACATCACCTCCGCACCCATCCCCTCCGCTGGCGGGATTCGCCGCTCCCCCTTCCTCCATCTCGCTCACACTCACAGCCACCGCCGCCGCCGCAACCCAAACCCTCTCCCTCCCACCCTGATCCGCTGTCACCCCCACCTTCTACGACCTAGATCGAGCAAGCGAGGCGGTGCTTCCAGACCCGCGACGGCGGCAGAGGGACGGGGCCGGGGCGTGTGCCAGATCTGCGCCGACGGCC